ATTTTTTGACGAGGAAATTGGCAGCGGGCCCATCAGATCCATTGCAACTAGTTCAAGCGGTTTGGAAGAAGCCAAATGTTGCAAAGGTGCACGATCAACCAGATTCTTTGCTTTCGAACGCTGATAGTCAGTACACCTGCGACAAAATTCATCAATCTCAGCGTGAAACCCAATCCAAAAATACTTTTTCGCGACTAATGCAATCGTGCGTCTTGTGGCAAAATGTCCGGTCACCGCTGTCGAGTGCGCTTCACGAATAAAACGACTACGAAATGTGCGAGGAACAATCAATTGGCTAGCATTAATCTGAAGTCTTCGATAAACCAAACCGTTGTCGACAAAAAGTTTACCTTTTTCGGTCCAGAGAGCGCGTGCGCCTGGACGAGTCGGTTGCTTATTGCGGTAGTCGCTTTGTAATAGGTTTTTGATTTCTTTAAGATCTTGATCGTTGTCAGTAGCTTCTTGCCATTCCCTACATGCCTCATCACTGCCTAGGAAATGTAGCGAGTTAATCGTGGGCGACGCGTCATCGACAGGGTATCTTGAAAGACCATCTGCGGTTCCGTGTTGTGCGCCCGGGCGATGTATCCATGCATAATCATATTCCGATAAATATTCTATCCAACGGGCAGCTTGTCCCCTTGGATTTTTGAAAGTACGTAGCCATTTCAACGCTTGGTGATCGCAACGAATCTGAAAATGCGCATGCAAAAGGTAGACTCGAAAATGTTCTGTCGTTCTTGCCGAGTTGTACTGTAATTTCTTTCCGGGTCCGATAAACTACGACTAGCAAAAGCAATTGGTCGTTCTACACCATCGTCATCAAGCTGTGAAAGAACTGCGCTAAGTCCGGAATTCGATGCATCCGTGTCTAAAGTAGGAGGACGGTTCCAGTTTGGATACGGCAAAACAGGTGCAGTTGCAAGTTCGGATCTCAGTTTCATAAATGCGTCCAACTGTTCTTTACCCCACTGAAAAACTTGACCTTTCCTGGACAATTTCGTCAAAGGTGCAGCAACACGAGCAAAGTTACGAATGAAGCGGCGATAATAGTTTGCAAAACCCACAAACCCCTGTACATGTTTGATTGTCTTCGGAATCGGACACTCAGAAACTTGATCTACTTTCTTTGCACTTAGTGTACCCCCTTTTCTGAAATGCAATGTCCCAGAAAAGAAACATCCGTACGCAGCAAATTGCATTTCCTAGGTTTAATCTTAAGACCTGCGCTCTCGAGAGCTTTCAAAACAGCTAACAGATTTTCTGCATGCTCTTCTCATGTGCGACCAAAAACAATGATGTCGTCGAGATAGATTAACCACTTAACATACAAAAGACCTTTAAGAACAGTATACATTAATCGCTGAAATGTTGCGGGTGCGTTAGTGAGTCTGAAAGGCATTCTGCGAAACTGGTAGAGACCGTGTGGTGTAACAAAAGCAGTTTTTTCTCGATCTTCAGGCGCTACCAAAACTTGCCAATAACCCGATTGCAAATCCAAAGTCGAAAAGTATTTTGCGCCGTGCAATGCGTCAAGCATGTCATCAATACGTTATTCAAGTTCCGATAACCAACGCAGAATCGTATCCCACCTCCGTCCTTCTTCGCTAAAACAATTGGGCTGGCCCACTGTGAAGAACTTGGTTCGATAATTTCCTGCTCTAACATGTCATCTACTAATTTACACGTCAGCTTCGTTTTATCCGGTGATAATCGACGGGCGTTGTGGCGGATCGGACGATTGTCAGTAAGTGTAATAGTGTGATGTATTTCGTCTGTCTTTCCAACGTCACTATCATTTACCGCAAATACTGATCGCATACTTAACAAAAATCGTTGTAAATGCTTAATCGCAGTGCTATTCCCACACAACCAGACCAATTAAACTTATAAAGCACACTCTTATCTTCTATTGGAACATTATCGTCAAGCATTGGGAATAGAGGTGATGAGGAGGAGATGGTGTGTTTTGGAATTACGGAACTCTTCGAACGCAACGGAAACGATTTTCGATACGCGGTAAGTGTGTGGTCAGACTCGAATGAAATGCTCATGCCATGGTCAGTCAACGTGTTTACACCAATAATCACCTCCTGTACCCCCTCTACTACCAAAGCTTTCGTCTTCACTACTGTCGAATGGTCGAATGCGATAAAAACCTGCGCGACCCCATGTACTTTAATGGAAGACCACGTCGCGCTTTGGAGTGCATCGATACCAACTGTGGACTGAGGCGCGGGTGTAGACATCGGTGCAAATGTTTCAAATACATCTTTTCGAATAACCGTGAATGCTGCCCCCGTGTCCACCAGAGCTGGTACCACTGCACCCTTGCCTTTTTGTCGTCTGCAAATTTTTATTTGCAAATGGCAGCCTTTCGTCCAATATCGACGAACGCAGTGGGCAGTTTGGGTGAACACAGGGGAAACACCCCCCCCCCCCCACAATAGAAACCACGAACCCCAGTAAGCGTAACATTAAGGCAATATACAAGAACGGAAATCTCATAATAGTCGACGTAACAAATTTAAGGGCGTGAACAAGCATCGTAAAGAACAGGATCGAGTACGGTAATAACAGAGTGACAGTCGACTTAACGGAATTAACGGCATGGAGGAACATCATAAATAACAGGATCGAGTACGGCAGTAACAAAGTGAAAGGTTTAACTGTCGAGGCAAAAGTGTTCGTATCGGTGGTGATTTTCGATATCGGAGTCGAAGTGGTTTGCAGCCTCTCGTTAGCCACTAAAAGCGGTATAAAGACTTACGTGAGTCCGAGCAGTCGCCAAAATGTTGCGAGTTTTGGGAACGCTGTTTGGTGCAACATTCACGTTCCATGTGTCCTCGGCGTTGACAAAAGAAACAAACAGGCGGTTCGCAGAAACCGATTCTACGATGCGATCTACGATCCCCCATTTGGCTACGCGATTCTGAACTGTGCGGACGTTTGAATTCTCGACGATCAGGCGAAGGTGAGCGAGGTCGACTACTCGCCGGTCTCTGGTGTTCCAACAAAATTTTGCTGACACGCTCAGCTACACGCTCAACAAGTTCGTCTTCGTCAAAAGTTTTCGGCAGTGCGCGTACTTGAGAAACAGATGCAAATTCTGCGGCCACAGCTGCGAGGACCGTACTCGACTTCTGTCAGTTCGTTTCCACTACCAGTGCTCTACGCTGCGCTGCTGCCAGTGTCTGCGGATCGAAATCGATTACCTTATCTTTAATCGGCGGATCTAAAGCATCGATAAAAGCTTCTTTTGCGATGTCGTCGATTACTTACGACGTCGCAGAAGGGTATGCACAAGCAGTCATTAGTCGTACATTGGTGGCGAGTTTTACCAAACATTCATTTGGGGGTCGTCTAGGATGGCGCAATTTGACCAGAAACAAAGACGAGTTATCTTTTGGCAAAAAATGGTCAATCAACACAGTTCTTAATTGTACATAGTCTTCGACGATCGATTTATCGCAAGCCAACAAAAATCTCGACGCTTCTTTCTTCAAAGACTTGCGCAAAATCGGTACCTCAATGCATCGCGATCATTAATCAAAAGTCTCGAGGATGAGGCGACAGGTGAGCTACAACTTTGATCAAAATCGGCATGTAACAAATTTTCGCAGCGCTCAACAGGTGGAAAACCATACGCCTAGCAAGCCGTATCAAACTCTAAAAAGAATACTTCAATATCTTCGACAGGCGCGCCAGAAAACACAGGAAAACTACCAGCAGGTATGCGACACGGATCAACAGTCATTTTCGTTTAGAAAGTTTGGAACGGTACAGAAGTTTGGAATGATAGAAAAAAATGGCGCCCAACAAAAGTTCGGCACAATACAAAGATTTATAAGCTAAAATTACGAGCAATGTGCTGCAAGAACGAAGTCGAGTTGAAACGAAACGAGACACAAGTACAGCGCAATACAGTTAGGAGCACTTACGGTTCTCAGGGTAGTGAGGTCGAGCAAAAAGTCGGGCGTCAATGTTAGGATCAACAGATCACACACGCGAAAAGCCACGATCACAAAAGGACGAGGGTCAATAACTCAAGTCTCAGGTCGAGATTCGTTGGAAAAAGAGAGAGAAAACGTCCAAGCCAGAGCTTATCAAGAGCCTGGGTAGCTATGGAAATGAATGTGCTAAAGCGAGAATCCAGCTACCCAGGCCAACGGAAGAAAAGGTTAGAAAAGGGAACAAGGGTGAGTACAAGCCTGTTAAGGTGAGTACGAGTCTGTAAAGGTGAGTGCGAGCCTGTAAAGGTGAGTGTGATCCTGTAAAGGTGAGTGTGATCCTGTAAAGGTGAGTGCGAGCCTGTAAAGGTGAGGGCGAGCCTGTAAAGGTGAGTACGAGCCTGTAAAGGTGAGTGTGATCCTGTAAAGGTGAGTACAAGCCTGTAAAGGTGAGTGCGAGCCTGTAAAGGTGAGTATGAGTGTGTGTGTGCGTACGAGTGTGTGCATATGTGATATCGTGAACCTAATACTTGGATAAAAATTGTAACGTGCATGGGATACCCAGACGGCTCCGCACAGTTAATGGAGCAACAAAATCTCCCTACATTTTCAGAGCCGCCCTACAGTGACTAATGCAAACTCGTGTATTGCTGTATAACTTTCAAATGTTGTTAACTTTTAGGGAGCGACGGACGAAGATTATGGCCTTTAGATTTCTAACTGAATCCATGAGACATTCACCGTTTGCGGATAATTCTGTAAAACAATGACAGATTCTGCTCGAAAAGCAATGACATTTCCAAAATTTTCAAACATTATGGCACGCACATCCTTTATGTCTGCTCCATTTTTTTGGTGTTTGAGAACTGTGCAACCTAACCCAGTTGCATATGAATCATGTTGTGGTTAGGAGTCTTGGTTATTCCTGAAAACAAGGTCATGAGTCGGCCGGCCTTATAGATTAAAACCACTACATTCTAGACTCGGTGGTTTGTGCACTACCCGGAACTATGCAAGAACAACATTGTCCTTGTGATTTGTCGTTTGTAGATATTTGAGCAATAATCAGATCCAGAGTTTAAGTGATGGTGTGTTCTCTTGTCTAACAAACCTCCAAACACTGTAAGTATTCTCAACTGCACCACTGAACGCAGGGAACAGTTGTTGTAGACGCTTTGTTTACAGCGCTTGTTGCATATCGTTTTTATTGGAAAGAAAGACTTTTCATGGCTCAATTTTTGTTGTGGTGCTTTGGTTTATTTTGTTTTGTTTTGCGTTCTTCTTTTTGGTTGCACATGCAGTTTGTGCATGCACCATGCGTCATTGTCATGCGTTATGTTTTGTTTGCGCGCATGCTCATATGCAGCCATGATGTTTGTCTTTTTCATCAGTTTCCAGTTTACCTTGTTGTGTCCGGTCTTCTTTGTTTGTCCGTTGCCCGTCTCCGTCTTGTCGAATAATCAAATTATGTAAAACTGTACAGTGCATTTCAAAACTAAAGACGCGTAGGGTTTTTGAAATATTTCAAATTTGGTTGGAATTTTTTGAGAATAGTTTTCGGAATATTGCTCAGGATCGCTCCACAATTACTCTCATATAGTTTCTAAAGGATTGGATAACAGACGCCCAATTTGGAAAATGTTATGCACAAAGTGATCCCAGATTTTATGTGGTATAGATGCTGGCATAACGGTTTTTGCCTAGGTACGCGTCTATAGTTTTAAAATGGACTGTAGTTCAGTTTTGTTGTTGTGTATGGCGGGTCGGATAGGCAGGGAGGCTGGGCCCCTGACGCCTGGACAACATGTACGGGAGCACAAAAGTACTTTATCATTCTACTGACCCGTCAATGTCTCTCAGCTCGTCTTCTTCTTGCCAGCTCCCATTGCTACATCACTGCTCTTGTCTATCATTATCTACGCAATTCAACCGGCTCGGACAATCGACTCGCCATCTTGCTCCTCTCAGTCACAACCCCTGTGATTCTACATAGTGTAAAAGTTCCTTCTGCACACTAGTAGGGGTAAGCGGATTGTATTCGGAAAATGACCGGATTATGCTGTAGCGGATGCCCGCAAGATGCTCGAAAAACAGCTAATTATGCCTTTACGTGCTTCGCCGAAAAACCACAAAACAAAACGGATGACAATAATGAAAAAAGGACTCAGAAAAAAAAGGATTCAGACCAAAAATATGTAAAGTAAAATAAATTATTCCAAATCAACAAGAAGCGCTATGTGCAAGTATGGTCCTTCAATAGCAGGTGTGTATATAACAGCCTATTTAGTGATCTGCCCTCTTTTCGGATAACCCACATTATGGTATCATAATACGTGTGGAGAAAGAGGCGAACTATTCTACTTCATGAAGGTACTGGGGTCGAATGCTTTTGACATGTCGAGGTCAAGGACGCGGCGATTGTCAACTTCACCAGGTCATAACTTTGGTCTACTTCGTTTGATTTTCACAATCTAGGGCTCGTTGGAAAGCTCTAGGCAGGGGCAACGCCAGGATGCCAAACTCCATTATGAAGCCGTAACAAATCAGGCTCTATAACACAACAAAGTTGTCTCCAAGCCTAATATGCAAGCAAATCGTCCCAACAACACCATTCCACTCTCCTTCATCGCGGAATGCTTAAATATTTCGTGCCGATTCAAAAACATATTCAGCTGGCTACATTATTATAAAGTGCTCAGTCGCTCAAAGACCACGCAAAAAGGGATTTCCCCCAAATATGGCGAAGAGTTCGACCAAAAATTGGATTTTGCCGAGGTAAGAATGCCTGAATACGGCGCGCGATAGCTCATTAGTCCGACATCGCTTCAGCCATTATTGCATTGGACAGCTTGGAGTTGTTGCTGCCACCTAGGATGGTTTGTGTAAGGTTTTCATTTAATGAAGTGGCAGCTCGATGACAGCATAACGCGTTTCAGCATCAGACAGGTAGTGGTGTAGTATCCCTGCCCGACCAATACGGAAGCAGTACGGAACTAATACGGAGCTTGCCTGATGTATATTTAGTGTATCTCCGTATGTAAGCGTACGTCGTCTGCTGCATAAAAGCGGCTGCGCATTTCTGTTTTGATGAAGATTAGATTAGATTAGATTAGATAGCAATGAAAGCTAACTCGAAGAAGATGAGATTTTGATAAAACGAGCTATTCAACCTCCAGGTGTGCACCGGAGAGAAAGTCAGTTATTTTGCCATTTCTTCTTTCACTAATAATTAAATCTCAGGTGTGTACCTGAAAGAAGTAGAATAAAAGTAATTCTTGTTGATTGCACCGCGCCTACCACTCGGCTACCCATTACATTGGTGGCAGCGGTGTAGTTTTAAATAAAACAACGTGATTCGACCCCAGACCCCCATGGCTCAACCCGCTACAGCTCCGTGCGACGAATCAAGATGATAATCATGTTTCTTGCCTTCCTGGGCTTGGCCCTGCTTATTAGCTTGCAGCACAGTCAGGGTGCTAGCATAGATCACCCTTCTCTACGCTCCGCGCACACTGGAGACTCCAATGACGATTCCAAGCGACCCGCTACCTACACGTATACTACCGGTGGTGATGGCGAAGCTGATGAGGACGACGACATGCAGGCTGCTGCCCAAGACAAGGAGGGTATTCCCCAAGACCAGCAGCGTTTGATTTTCGCCGGCACGCAGTTGGCGGACGGCCGAACCCTGCGTGACTACAATGTTCAGCAGGAGTCCACTATTCACTTGGTACTTCGTCTCCGTGGTGGGATGCAGATTTTCGTCAACACTCTTCCTGGCTAGACCATCACTCTTTGCGTCGCGCAAAGCGATGCTATCGACAATGTGAAGACCATGATTCAAGACGAGGAGGGAGGTCATTTGTCTGACGCCGAGCTAGCCGCTCTGAGTGACCGGCTCAACCAAGATGAAGATAAAACCTGGCTTGCCCTCCGCCGTAGCTCCAGCCGCCGCCGTGGTTACTGACGCTGATTCTAGGTATGGCATTTTCTTTCCTGTCTTCCTTCAGTCTCCCTGTTCTTTTCAGTCTTCCTTTATGCGAGTGTGTGAATCCAGTTTAGTTTGGTAGGCGTCTGATCATGGTGAGCCACGGTTTACCCAGCTAACGTGGGACAATGTGTGTGACAACGCCCCTTATAGATATAGTGTATTCAGTTCGGTTTTTGAACTCCGATGTTCCTGGCGGGTTGTGCCAGCGTTGTGCAGCAAGAGTGCTGTGGATTTTCAGGTCCTATTTGGAGGACAGTTCTTTAACCTTTTGACCCCGTGAGATCGTGTGAACCTGGTGTGCTTCTACTTTATGATTTGTTATCAGTTCATTTCTTCTGTCTACTCTAAACGTTATCATTTCCGATATAATTTGCCATCTTCCGGGTGACGCTGTTGTTCATAACTCTTCACTAATTTTTGAGAATCACGAGGGCGTGATTATCTGTAGGAAGGGAGGGTGTAGTATCCCTGCCCGACCAATACGGAAGCAGTACGGAACTAATACGGAGCTTGCCTGATGTATATTTAGTGTATCTCCGTATGTAAGCGTACGTCGTCTGCTGCATAAAAGCGGCTGCGCATTTCTGTTTTGATGAAGATTAGATTAGATTAGATTAGATAGCAATGAAAGCTAACTCGAAGAAGATGAGATTTTGATAAAAACGAGCTATTCAACCTCCAGGTGTGCACCGGAGAGAAAGTCAGTTATTTTGCCATTTCTTCTTTCACTAATAATTAAATCTCAGGTGTGTACCTGAAAGAAGTAGAATAAAAGTAATTCTTGTTGATTGCACCGCGCCTACCACTCGGCTACCCATTACATTGGTGGCAGCGGTGTAGTTTTAAATAAAACAACGTGATTCGACCCCAGACCCCCATGGCTCAACCCGCTACAGCTCCGTGCGACGAATCAAGATGATAATCATGTTTCTTGCCTTCCTGGGCTTGGCCCTGCTTATTAGCTTGCAGCACAGTCAGGGTGCTAGCATAGATCACCCTTCTCTACGCTCCGCGCACACTGGAGACTCCAATGACGATTCCAAGCGACCCGCTACCTACACGTATACTACCGGTGGTGATGGCGAAGCTGATGAGGACGACGACATGCAGGCTGCTGCCCAAGACAAGGAGGGTATTCCCCAAGACCAGCAGCGTTTGATTTTCGCCGGCACGCAGTTGGCGGACGGCCGAACCCTGCGTGACTACAATGTTCAGCAGGAGTCCACTATTCACCTGGTACTTCGTCTCCGTGGTGGGATGCAGATTTTCGTCAACACTCTTCCTGGCTAGACCATCACTCTTTGCGTCGCGCAAAGCGATGCTATCGACAATGTGAAGACCATGATTCAAGACGAGGAGGGAGGTCATTTGTCTGACGCCGAGCTAGCCGCTCTGAGTGACCGGCTCAACCAAGATGAAGATAAAACCTGGCTTGCCCTCCGCCGTAGCTCCAGCCGCCGCCGTGGTTACTGACGCTGATTCTAGGTATGGCATTTTCTTTCCTGTCTTCCTTCAGTCTCCCTGTTCTTTTCAGTCTTCCTTTATGCGAGTGTGTGAATCCAGTTTAGTTTGGTAGGCGTCTGATCATGGTGAGCCACGGTTTACCCAGCTAACGTGGGACAATGTGTGTGACAACGCCCCTTATAGATATAGTGTATTCAGTTCGGTTTTTGAACTCCGATGTTCCTGGCGGGTTGTGCCAGCGTTGTGCAGCAAGAGTGCTGTGGATTTTCAGGTCCTATTTGGAGGACAGTTCTTTAACCTTTTGACCCCGTGAGATCGTGTGAACCTGGTGTGCTTCTACTTTATGATTTGTTATCAGTTCATTTCTTCTGTCTACTCTAAACGTTATCATTTCCGATATAATTTGCCATCTTCCGGGTGACGCTGTTGTTCATAACTCTTCACTAATTTTTGAGAATCACGAGGGCGTGATTATCTGTAGGAAGGGAGGGTGTAGTATCCCTGCCCGACCAATACGGAAGCAGTACGGAACTAATACGGAGCTTGCCTGATGTATATTTAGTGTATCTCCGTATGTAAGCGTACGTCGTCTGCTGCATAAAAGCGGCTGCGCATTTCTGTTTTGATGAAGATTAGATTAGATTAGATTAGATAGCAATGAAAGCTA